CGGTCGAGCCGGCCCATTCATGCTGAAGCGTGGCTCTCCCACGGTTAAAATGATGATGGGCCGTTTATACAATATACTACTACTTTATACAATACTGCATTGATATTCTGTTAAAAATACAACATTGAGCTCAGCGCTCTCACGACATTAAAGGATCAATCAAATAAAACCTACTTCAAAAGGTATTAAAGGATTTATTTGTTTCAACCTCTAATCTGAAAACGCAGCGTTTGACACTGGACTTACAACTGCATAGCAAAGCTGAACGCCATGTTTTGTTGTATTGTTTCGAGTTGCGGATTATCTTGGGTTTATGCAGCCCAGTATCAGTGCGACCATTGCTAATCTATTGTGATCTCCACATACTACAGTTCACGTTCAAAATTACATTCTACAAGGAAATGTGTTCTCTTGGCCGTAAGTTCTTTAATATCGTCTGGGTGCATCACGTGCTTTCCCAGATAGATACACCGTTTTCGCATTAGTGACGGGCAATCAGTCAAAATGTGCAAGGGTGATTCTTCCTCCTTGCATCCTCTGCACACTTTACTGCCGCTGATCCCCATCTTGTATATGTGTCAGTTCTGTCCACAATGCCCTGTGAGTGCTCGTACTAGTGTGGAAAGGTGATTTTTGGTTAAGGTTAAGGCCTCTGATGCCGCCTTTTTGTTGAAGGTTTTAATCATTGTCTCAACAGGGTCATCGCCATGTTTGATTATTTATTTTATATTATTGTTTTATTTTACCGAAATAAAAAAGGCTAAATTCATAAATAAAGATAATATAAAGAAGGGGGTTATTTACAGAGAAGATTATAGTACTCGTATTATCAGACTGATGTGTGTTTCATCTTTACAAGATTCGTTGTAAAATATTAAATAGCTTTTAATTTAGACCAATCAGTAGCGCCGAACGATTAAATGTATTATTATTTTATTATATTGTGCTATACTGCTACACTGAAAAATATTCTTAATGGGATATGCTTAAAAATTATTAAGAATATTTTTATTAGAAAATTGTGAATGGAAAATTGATCAAAATATAATATTTAGGACAAATTTTCATATTAATCGAAAATTTAAATATTTGTAAAAATACTTCTTTCTGTTGTAGGAGTGGATTGACTGAACATTGATAAAAATACGCTCTGTAGTAGCAAAAAAGTAACAAGTGCCTGAAAATTTCGTCAGTCGAAAGGTCGTGGGTTCGGGTCCCATTTTAGAGTGCCACGGAAAAAGGATTTTTTAAGGATTTTTCATTACGAATATTTTTCATTAGGACAAATTATTATTTATTTAAAGGATTGCCAAAGTTTGTCGACAACATTACATATTAATCTGGTTTTGTAATTTCATTTGGTCAAAATTCGTCAGTCCTATTAGATCCTTTGTAGCTCAGTGGTTAGAATAGTCGCCTGGATTACGAAAGGTCGGGTTCAAGTCCCATCTCAGAGTGACATGGACAAAATGGATGTTTTTTAGCATTTTTTATTAAGAATATTATTATTACATTTTAATATTAAATACCTGGTATAATGAATGCAATATTTATTGAATATTATATCTATACCAATAATCTTCTAAAAATCAGTCAATCTAGTTTCATTACTGCAACAATCCTAAGTTTAATTAGCCGAGCAGTACGGACGGCAGGGTCTCTTACAGGATTTATTACCTCTTGAAGCAGCAATATCGCAGTGAAGCAGTTCAATCACCGAGCTGTCCTCGTTGTGCCATCGGCATTGTCTATTCAATATTCTGCGCGATTGATCCAAAGGACTGTAGATATTAGAGAAAGGGGTTCATTTCGGAGATGGTTGTTAATTAATCAATTCTATCGTTGGAATATATGGTTCCCGTCATGGATTACGGCCATATTGTTGCGTTACTAATAGGCTTATATCGAATGTAGCTCTATTGAGTTGGACCTTTTCGGATAACAGCTTTATTATTAAAGAACCTTCAATTATGAACGTGACCGGATTATAATGGAGTTGTATTTATCAAAATATTATGTTGTTCAAAAGATTTGTAGGCATTAATATCATTTATTCAATCTAGGCAGCGGAGCTTATTAGCTGCTCTGAGATTTTAGTCGCTGTTTCAAATAAAGATTATATATTATTTATATGTTTGTGAAATCTTAAAAAAAATATTGAATGTTATAATAATTTAAATTAATCATTTATGCAAAAACGGATAATACAAGGCTTTAACATTGTCAGCAATCAGCAATAAATTAGCAACTATATATCTTGTGGGATTTTCTTAACATTCTTTTTATACATTTAATATTTTATTATATAATTTGTTTTTTTTTTCTTGAAATGATTTGACAATGTTTAAGTTACTTAATTCTTAAATATAAGTTTAGGAATTCATAAGTCATACTAAATTTCAAAAAGTTAAAAATAGATAGTGAAACCTATAAGGAACAAAATATCACAGCACTATTTTCTACAAAAACATAGTTTTATCACTTTTGATTGTATTACTGATAATTTCCAATAAAACACTTAACTACATGAGCGACCCACACGACCTCGTAAATTATCGGTACATAAGGTTGGAACCGAATCAATTACAGTATTCTATTAAGCTGATATCAAGATCCCCTCAAAGGTACCTAATACAGAGAGCGGCGTAGCGCAGGGGAACCATAGCCATTTCTTGTGCTCATAAATCTCCAAGCTTGATTATAATCAACCAAGTTACAAAGGTAGGATATGAAGTGGTCACATAAATGCGTTCAGAACCATTTGAAGCGATTATAATACGAATATATATTATTTTATCAATTATTCGTTCCATTTCGTGTAGCTAATTTATAACAAAATGTCAAATTTATGTAAAAAAAAGAGTTTTATGTTCTAATTTGCTGTCTGTACATGAAAATGAATTGACCTCCGTGGACGAGTATTATCAAGTTGCCACAATTTACGTGGTTTACTGAACCGGCAATCTATTCCGATTGTTGATCCAGCAAATGGAGGCAAATGCACGCCTCACTTATATTATCATAAATGGTCAGTAAGGTAATACCGTTAACTACTTTCAGAAGTTATCAGAAATAAACATTTTTAAATTTTTTATGACGATTGATTGTTGTCAGTCTAATATAATTCGAATTGTGGGCTTACACCACTTCTGTAGAGCGGGCCCGTGCAATTGAACATGAAACATTTGAACACATTTTAAGGTGCTTTCTGTTTTTTGTTTCGCAATGAATCAATTGAAGTAGGGTATCATATATACGTTTGTTTATTAATTTTACCAAAATGATAAGTTATATCAATCTAACTTTGTAAAGAAAGCATATTTTTTACTTTTTTTACATTATATCCTCCTCAGCGAATCTTCCATTCTTTTGATACATATATACAGTGAGTGTTTAAGGATAACTAGTCCGCCATCTTGGGTGGTAAGTAATATTGGATTCAGAAAGAGATAATTTTATTATTATGGCTTTTTCTAAGCAAATTCATAAAAAGATTGAAAAGGTTGTGCCCTACGCCATATTAAATTTTGTACCTGGATGACCATAGCAATCACAGTAGGACTCCCAATTTTATGAGATCACACATGACAAATTATTATAAATATGACCATAGTCGAGTAGAATTTATATATTGTAGCAAGTTAATTATGTATGTATAAGATCTTAATATGTAGAAATTGTCCAATCGATTTTTTCTATATGATTTTTTTACTGATTCCTGTTCAAACGAAATTGGGAATGATCAGAAGTATTTATATATTTTAATAAACTGAACAAAAGTTTTTGAAAAGAAGAAGCTACTTGCTAGTTACTCTTGCAGGAAATTGAGAAAGAGCAATATCTAAACAGAGTAACGCAATAAAAAATCTTAACATTTAAGGCGTTTCAAGCAAACACGAATTAATTCAATGCTCAACGATCAAAGCGTGTTGTTTAAGCGAGCGTAAAAAGCGAATCAATAATATAAAATTAATTCTGGAGATAAATGCAATCCAAATGAATTACAATAAAAATTAACTATGATAATTAGAAAAATATGTTTAAATTTTTTATTGCGTTTGAACTTATAATCATAATACCAAAATATCATAAAAATATTGTCCTTTTTTTCAATGATTTCTGTTGGTATTTTCAAGAATATTTTTACTTATTTATATAATCAAATCATTGTATATTTAACTAAATAAACGAATATTAGTAACTCTCAGCACTTTGACCTCAAGCCGTGTCCGTGTGTTACGTCTGGGCAGATAAAATGTAGTCGTTAATCTCATAGTTCCGATAGTTCATTGCTTGAGGGCGGGGGTCTCTAAATGAAGGCCCCAAAACAAATACCCCAACTCTTGATATTAAGTTGAAACCTGTTGGAAAGGTCACTCGGGCATTTCACGATGAGGTAATGGAAAATAAAGGCGTCCATTTCAAAATATATTTTGAGTTTAAGCTAGTTTCTCGATGAGTTTATTACAAATGAAAAACTGAAGTGTCTGTCTAATGTTAATGTATTGAAATCAGAGGTGAGCAAAATATAAATCGGCTACACGTCAGGTTACCACGATATAATACAAATTTCTCCAGTTGATTTGAGACTCGGGCCATATAACATTAAGGTTTAAAATAAAGTGGGAAATTTTGATAGATTTATATAAGCTGACATGCTGTTGATTGTACATTTGGTAATAAATTGTAATCTTCTATAATAAAATTTACAAAATTAATCATACATTTGCTACACACACTTATAAATGATTTTAGAAATTACGGCTGCGATATGTAATCGTTCATTGGGATAAAATGTAGTCACATATTATCCAACTTTGATTGAAATAAAAAAGAAGAGATATATACAACGAAAGATACATATAGATAGCTACAATATATCTATAAATTTGTTAGATACGTATTGTGATTTGAGTTCTGCTTCTGCCTCAAAATAATATGCATTACAAACATTTATCCACCGTTCGTAGAACAAAGGAAATCTGAATAATTGATTCAAAATGAAAACGTTATACTTCATTCAAGGTAATCTTTTCTAAAGGCTCTTTTGGATCGCATACGGCCCTTTTACTACAAAACCAAAGCCTTTTACTTTAATCGATCGTTGGTACCTTTTTACTATAGAAAATAATTATGAATTATTAGGAAAATGAATCTCTCTTATCTAAAGCTCTTCTATAAGGATATTTACTGAGGCTTTTATGAATATGTATCTTGAATATAATACAGAGCTGGTGGCGCGAGCTTTGTTTGAAGAGGGTCCAACAGGAACGTTTCTTGGGTCTCAAACTGTTTATATTCAAGCAAGTGTCTTGTCATAATCCACAACTTTTTCAGAGAATTGTAAACTAACTATTACGTCAGACTAACGGTAACTTAATATCCATTATATCTTAGTAGTATTTAATCATTTATAACTATAGAATGACGCACTATAGTGTATGCACTAAGAAACTTTAGGTGTGTATTAAGTGGGTCCAGCGAGTTCCTTGGAGGATCCTTTACACCCCCTTCCACCCCTACCGAGGGCATTTCGCAGTCGGATTTCATCAGGTAGGTCAATCACACTTTAACCTGTCCTTTTTAGTATAGCTGTATTTGTTCGAACAGCTCTGACTAACCTGCTTAGGAGGCATTTCCCCTGTTTTCACAAAAAAGGTGTACCTGTGTTAAGTATTATGTTAGTGTTTGTAATATTGCTTCTCGAAGTTTTAAAACCAAAATACAGATTTGAATTAGGAAATGCACTGTTACTTTTGTACTTTACAAATCTATATGGGGCAAATCTCTAAAAAAAGTATTCTAATATAGTTTATTAGAGTCTATAAATGCAATCATGAGGGTTATGCGGGATAAATGCGATTTGCTAGCGATTCCAACCTGCCAAACAATCATTTGAGGCAACTCGATGAATAGCTGCACATAATATCAAGCAGTATAAAACGAATTAATTAACATGCAGAAAATCCCTCAGATATTAACTCCATATTCCCAATCAACATTGGTTTCAAAAATATTTATTCAAGTTCAATCTATCAAAAAATAACAACTTTCCGTTTGATAAAAGTTTGTTGTTAGAAACAGTAACAATAAAGACAAGGAAATCTTTGTTTGAATATGATTTTTATTTATCATTTTTTTATTGTCATTGACTTTTTTCTAACAATAAGATGAAACGTCGGTTCGTAAGAACGCTTTCACTTTTAGGCTATTGTGTTTTAAACGTTTTGTGTCAAAATAATCCTTAAATATTGGAAAATATATTCTTTTGCAACAAAAAATATAATTCTTAAAAGCGATTTTATGTTATTGGTTACTGTATGTTATTTTGGTTAGGTACATATGTCACATTATTAAACCCTATCCAGTTATTCAAAACTCTGTCATCATATACTATTACTATAAAATAGGTATGTATTACGGTAAAATCGAAGCCGGATAGTCCAATAATAGTTATATATTTATGGCCTATCACTATTTTATCATTTCTTTTTTGAAGTACAAGCCTTCACCCTGGGTAGAAATACACAAGGAAAACGGACTTGCCTCAAGTGAAGTTCTATTTTAATTATACAAATAGTATAGTCTCGAATAATAATATTTCAATAATGATTATTATTCAAAATTAGCTAATGAAATAATAAAAAAAGACAATGTCTCCTTTCTGCTTCTAGTGCCATCTAGAGGGTTACGTCAGTAAGTTTAGATATTTAAGTCCAGCACGCGTAGCATGACGAACTCGAGAACGTTTTGTCTACACTCAAATGTCACTTTTCTCGGGTGCGCCCATACGATATCCCACTCTTGACCCGACAAACTGACAAGTTTGTGTAGACAAAGCGTTTCTCGAGTTTGTCATGCTACCCGTGCAGCACGCGTAGCATGACGAACTCGAGAACGTTTTGTCTACACTCAAATGTCACTTTTTTCGGGTGCGCCCATACTATATGTCACTCTCGACTCGAGAAACTGACAAATGAGTGTAGACAAAGCGTTTCTCGAGTTGTTATGTCATGCTACGCGTGCTGACACCATTATACAAATTATTTTAGGATCGACGTATGAATTGAACTGATCGAGGGGTTACTGTATAAAGTTTTCCTACAATCAATAACAGTTACGTCTTAAAGTATGTAATGTAACTTCAATAATGTAATAATAATTGTAGATTCAACCACACTTCTACACTGCTCGGGATACATGTCATCACGCCACCGAGTCCCAAACAATAATACTCCTAAGACTAGCAACTACCTTAGAGCAAGTCTAGTCAAATCAATATTTTTTATTAAGCCAACACAACATCCGTTTCCAGACAAGTTTCATTATTATATTCTGTTCTGTGAATAAATTAATTTGTTTTATTAAAAACCATATTTTGTAATTGATGGTTCAATAAAAACACAAAGTACAAGGTAACATATCATTGTGAATATAATAATGTAATTAAATATTTATAATTTAATATCTACTAAATTATTTTAGTTAACACCCCCGTTTCCTGATTGTCATTAAGCTCTCTCCATCCAAAGGTTGTCTGGCAGAGATCGCTCTAAGCGATAAGACCGCCAATTGTTACACTGTAATATTAATATTTGTATGTAAATTTCTGTTTATGTGGTGTTGACAATAAAGAGTTATAGTATATTATTATTATTATTAACAATACAGAAAAAAATTGGCAAATCACTAAAACTTCTTTTAAAGTAGGGTATTAGTATGAATAATATTTTTTCGATTGCCTTTTCTTGCATATATAACCCGCTTTTCTAGTTTACCTATTATTTTTCACTTTTAAAGCTTTTTTGAAGACCTAATCTATTCTCCATTGCTAAGTAAAATCTAAAGGTTATGGTACCTTACATTGCACAAATCTAAAAATTGGCATGAATGTTGAGAACACTATTTTATTTTTAAACATGTTTGTAACGAATAATCAGTCTTGGAATACCGCAAGAGTAGTAAAATCTCTGTAAAACGTGCGCGTGTAATTACAAAACATTGTCGAAAAAGGTCATGACTAGAATGGGTCTATAGTGTACCGTCCGACCAACGCCGGTACAGATGGCGGGGAAGGGTTGAATTTTAATTAGTCCCGAGTCAGTTTGAGTTCGCGTGGATGCGATGACACTAAACCGCCTCTGTTAATGTTTTTGTAGTTGTGGAAATTAACTAATTTTATAATATTTAGATGGTCTATTCCATTTATCTACGAAAGAAATTGCGAGTCGTTGTTATTATTTTATTAAAATCGAATCCGTCAAGATTATCTGTGCATCAGAGGCAGGGTCAGGTCAGGTTATTTCGTTTTCGAAGAAACAGAATAGGTTATTCGACTGCTGATACACAACAAAATCATAAGACAATTTGTTTATATTGTAAGGTAATTTAATAATAAATGTTTATAATAAAAGAAATACAAATTGAAAGTTAATAATCATATTATTATAATAAAATAAAAAAGTTAATGTTATAATTAATGTTAATTTTATAATCTGTTTTTATATAATAACAAATAAGAAGATTTTGTTGATTAATAAACTCTCAAACTAAAACAAAAGGTTCTATTTGAGTTACATCATTACTTTTCATCAGAATTCTGTTCCATCACAAACACGTAAATTTCATTGGATCTCAAATAATATTCCTGTATGTGATGTTTTATAACAAATAAAATTATAATAATAGCGTGACCCACATCCCAAGCTGACGTCATGTGTCACACAGTCGTACAGAACTGACATCTTTTGCGTAATAAAGGACAATCATCGGCCCGGGTGGGTCACGAAATTTTTAATAAAAATAATTACTACATTCATCATTGTTGGTTGTTCTTAAATAAATAAATAAATAAAATTCACAGGACAGAGAATCGCGTCAGAACCCTGACATTGCACAATGTTATCAAGTTTTCGTAAGATATATAACAATATAGAATCGTGTGAATGCCTTTACCAAATAATAGTTGTTACCAGCGGGTTTGTCTGAGTCCTGAAACGGAAATATCTAAAGCCTTTTCTCTGGATCAAAGGTACCCAATGTCACTTCAACATATCAACTTTCTTTACACAAAAAATTATACCTTAGCCACATAAGACAAATAAGAATATTAACCTGTTATGATATGTATTATAATGTTAGCACGGATGCTATATAGTTATTTATGTTTGTAGGTGTGGCAGACTGGCTGTCGGTCACGTGGGCGCAGGGCGGTATGCTGCAGCCGGACGCCGCCGACACAACAGACATACACTCCGCCAAGGGCCGGTCAGTACTGTTATCATAACTTATAAAGCAGTAAATAATGTATACATCAACAAATCACTTTATTACAAAAGGTAAAATTTTAGCACACTCCACAGACCTATACAAATATTAAAAAGAGTAAAGATTTAATTTTTTGTTGGTTTATTTACGTGAAATAGGCTTCAAATTAATTACTTTGTAATTACATAATTTGACCCTTTAATACATATGACTTTACTAGAATACACCTAATATTACATCCAGTTTTATCCTTTGTTTGAAGTTTGTATGTTTTAAAACACTTTACGAAACTAAGCATTACATAATTATTCTGGTAATTTAGTAATGTCTTGTTAGAATGAAAAATATTCGTTCAAATATCTACCACAGAAGACTATTCAAAAGCACTGACAAAAACTTAGTGCGGTACGTCCAGAAAGCGGTGTACCGAACAATAATAAAAAAAAAAGAAAATTAAAAGTAAAGAAATATAGAACAAACTTTGTTTGTTAGTTTATTTGTTCTTATTTATAATGCTTTCCAATTGTTAGTCTAGTGTTTGAACGTCACAAACAATAGATTTGATACAAGCCATTAAATATTCCGCGGAGTACACTCCAATATTGTCCCCTCATCCCTGTAGTTAGAGTGGAGTTGACATTTAATAAAGTAAACCTTTCGTTTGCAGCCTCCACGCTTGGCGTTTTGCCCACTCTGATAAAATGGAACTGTGCGAACTTGACACTGAAGACATTTAGTATATTAGTATGTTTCCCCGTGGAACCGATTTGATTTGACTAAATATAAAATACGTAAAATAGATACCTTGGCGTTGTACATTATTTAAGTGCACACGTAAAGTATTTGTGTAAATTGAAACGACGATGACGACAGTACCTCCAAGTTCCAGGTGCAAATTAACGGCGCAGTAAACAATAAGATTTGACTGAAGTTAAATGTCTTTAGGAATGGATTTTCTACTCATTTATTTTTATTTTATTTTATTTATTCAATATTTGGGATAGCAATAACCTCATTACAAATAAAATATGTACTTATCGTTTATATAAAAGGTTGTATTGTCTTATATATAAAATGCACCATAAGTTATATTTATTTATTTACCACAACAATCCTTTTACATTTAATATATATTTAAGTTTTACTTATTAGTGAATACATGCTGACATGGACATACATACGCGACCATGACCAAAGACACAAGAGAGACATAAGATCATAGACTAATTAATAGTACACACAGAGTAAGTTAATACTATCATAACATCGTTATTGCTATTTACTACGCGAAAAACATCTCGTACACAAAATTAAATAATTATGATCAGTGAGGCAACGAATACTACTTTACCAAATACAAATAATAATATTTATTTTCAAAAAATTTATACATAGGCTTAAACTCAATATTACAATAATCCACTTTTTTTTAACCAAGAGATTTAATCAGATGAACTCACCGCTAACAATAATTTGTCCAAAAAGCAAATGTTTGATAAAGATTACCATTGAACTGTGTATTCGAGAAAGATAAATATAAACTGTATTATGTTAAACAACCGATACAACTGTATAAAAATAAAATAAAAACACAAATATAATTATAGCACTGTAAATGTAAAAACTCACTAATGAATTATTAACACATGATTTATTAATATGTGTTAATAATTCATTAATTTATTAAGTTTTTTTTAGTTGCATCACATCGTGGTAATGGTGCTCTCTTCCACCACTACCATGGAGGTTGGCAATAATTAATCTATAAATAAATGAGTATAAATAAGTTCCCTTATTAATTGAATCAGATACTAATATATGATAGATGGTTGAGTAAGTATGTGTATATTCAAAACTGGGAAATAATATAGGTACGCCTTGGTCAGATGTATGTAATTACAGTTAGAATATAAGCGAGTAATAGTTAACGTTTAGTGGGAGTATTTAAGTAAAATCGCGAGCAAAATCTATCAATATATGTATATAGAAATAAATTTGAAATGTGTTAATTAAACCCTTTAATTTGATACCCTACACCGAATGATTGAATAATGTATATTTATTTAGTTTCATACTTTATACTCTCTAGAGGGCGCTGTTGCTAATTTAATGTAACGTCACATAGCCTATACCGCGCAGACAACTAAGACGCTTCTAATGATACCTCATATGTCTAGTTCCGATGAGTAGTTTCGAAGTTATAAGAGAACAGATGAACATCCTTACGTACATACCGGTCAAAATCTTAACCCTCCTTTCTTCTAATACTATAACAGTTCATTTCATTTATCCACCGATAAAACGAAGCGTAGAATAAGGGCACTTTAATAGGCACATTTTGCGTACATAATCCATGAGCTATCAAGTGACTGTTATGTATTAGTTCTTCCAAAACGCATACGTTACAATTTTTACATCCCTGTGAAACTAAAAAGTTACAAAATTATCCATATACAGATTTATTAAATTTACGTTTCGTGTTAATATACTCGTATTTCAACAGAACAATATCCCATAATTTTCAAACAAGACGGCATTGCCTTATCGTTTGTACCCTTTCACTGGAGATGCAGTTTCTGATCTATTAGTCATCGTGGGAAATCGTGTTTCGCGAGCGAGTACACCACAATAGTGTTACGTCAATTTATATCATACGACGGACGCCCGATCTGAGAAGAATCAATGTCGTATAATATTGCAAACATTATGGTTCTTTGTCCTATTTCATGATATTTAAAGAGATTATTAAACAGTTTACGAAATGAAAATAAATAATTTCACATAAAAAGAATCACATAATCGTAATCTTAAACATGATTGACATACTGAAGTTCGATTTACAAAGTCATGACTGTGTGCTTAACTCGCTATCTCGCATTTTTGAACGTAAAAATAAGCCATAATTTCTCTGGTTACGAATCCGCCATCTCAGTATCTTCAAATGACCTTTAAACGAGTCGACAAGGGGCGGGAGGGGAGTGTGGCGCAAGCGCTTGCAGCAGCACGTAATAAAGTTTGCATTGGGTAGGTAAGTAAGTATAGCACCCCGCTCGTGCTATACTTTTTTGGAGGTTACTTTATACATATTATCTAATTATATATTCTCAGCATATAGGTATACAATGTTTTTTTTACAAACTTTTATTTATTTCGCTTTGTTTGTATGACTATGGTTTATATTACAAGTTACCATTGACTAATAATGTACTACTAATATCTACATTATGACAACAATGACAACATTATCACATCAACAGCTACAAATAAGTAAAATTAGAAATTGTTTTAAATCTTAAAAACTAAGAAGATTTTTATCTCTTGGTTCTTTGAAGAAACATCTCAATATTATGACTAAAAGGCTGATTATTATAATACATATTTAGTAGAACAGTAATAAAGCTGATTAAAAATTTACGTTTATTATTTACATATGCCATACAGTACAAACTATCAAAATACTGGTATAAGTCAGTTAATTGATATTATGTTAAAAAATGTACTTAGAATATGTGGGGTGGCTAACAATGCCCACGAGTGCTCACGAGGCTAAAAACCGCACGACTTATCTTGAGTTAATAACTCGAAACGTTTTTTTTTATCACGTTCCTATTTTATTTAAAAATACAATGAGCTCTATGGTAGCTTTACATATTTAAGACGTTTTGGATCGATTCGGAGCAATCAGCTATGATACGACTAATCCAGTGGTTAAAGTTTTGTTTTTTGGAAATTGTTTAATTCGTAAATAGTGCATTTTGATGTTGTCTTTATTAGCGTAAAAACTGGCTTCGTTGCCCTATTTTTAATATTTTTTTAAATTATATGCAATCCATAACGTATGAGATTTAATACTGTTATTTTATAAGGATAGTGTCAAGTCGGCGACTAATCGCATCGCCTGTCAGAAGCCGATCAAAATATCGGACGGTGTAAACGCTCGTTACTTGTTCGCGCGGAAGCGATCCACCGTCGTCGGCAGATATTCCCTGGTTTATTATCTTCTTTATTGTTGGAATCTCTTTCATTGCCTCCGCTATGTAACGGTCGTTCACAAAATATGGGAGCTTCGTGCATGTAAGCTGCGCATGTTTATTTACAGGCATTGTTATCATTTTGAGAACACATTTTAAACGCTTTGTCCTGAGAAACATTTGAAGGTTCAAACATTCATTACAAGTATTGAGAACAAATTCCAGCGTGGCAAAAGTTAAAAACAAAAACCAAAAAAAATAGACTTCACAGCTTCTGCTTATGGAATCGTGCAGCATTACCGTGAAATACATATAACACATAGCTAGTTGCGGAATTTGAAAAGTCATTTTAAAAACTGTTCTGTTAATCTTCATTAAATAGTCATTTACCAAACTTCAGTATTAATAAAATTTTATAAAATGATATTTAATTAATCTGGTCGATGTAATATAATTTATAAGCACTCGTAAATCCAATACAAATGCATTCACCACCATATACCACTTTACATATATTTCTAGCCTCCACGGAGCATCCTCAAGTCGTGAATTCAAATCGCGAGTCTGGTTTGTGAGGCGTTGAAGAGACACGTGTGTATTGTCTTGTGCATTCATGACACGGAAGACGTTTCGAAGCTTGCCATGATTGAACTACGCAGTTATAAACTAATCTACATTGTCAATATATAAAAATTCGCCTCGAAAGGCAATCTGAGGGCACTGCGAGGCAACTTTCGACTACTGTTCACACGAGCAGCCTCGTGATACCGGTACATGCCTTTAGGGTCTATACCTGGTCGCAATTAAATGTTTGTGCACGTATATTTATTAGCAGTGCTACTAAATACCATTGTTTTATAATTAATTTAATGAACTTATTGTTTAATCTTTATAGAAATAAAATTTACATTGTATCAATCACATTGTTGTGTAATTAAATCGCGGTAAGCGTCTAGAAAGAACATAAAAGTTCACCTAAACATTTCACATTCAGTGTTAATCGAGTCCATTTGAGGAGGGGTCCGGCAA